CAGGGTGAGCGGAAATCAGTGTCTTTATAACGATGTCATCAATATCTGCCCAGAGCTTTGATGTGTCATAGTTGTGCTTTGCCATCCAGGCATTCAGGGTGGACAGTTTCCTGTGTGGGAACAGGGGGTGGTAAAGCTCAGCTGTGTCACCCCAGGAAGGCTGAGGTAAACCCGTGTCCCCAGGCAGTGTTCCTGCAGTGCTGGGACATGCCAGTACCTCTTGCTGCCCACCATGTCGTCCTTGATGAAGTTCTCATTGTGTTTGTTGATTGCATAATTGGTCAGGTGCATGCAGATGTCACCCTGGCAGGGAACCACAAGAGATGTTTGTTCACTCTGAACCACTGAGCAAGAACAGGAACAGCTCCACCAGATACTCCCATGTTCTTTTCTGCCTGGAGCATGGGCAGAGTTGGAATAGTGTGGAATTGAGCATTCTTAGCAGGGCCAGAAGCAGAACATGCTGCCCAGAGACACCAGGGGCGGGGGGAGGCTTCACTCTGCAGGTTTTCAAAACCTCATCGGGTGAGATCCTGAGAAACCAGATATGAATTTATTGTTGACCACGTTTTCAGCATGAGGTTGGAGACCTTCCAAGGTTCCATCCAAGCAAATAATTCCACGATTCCATGGTAATGCCAGTGAACAGCCCAAATGTGGGGCCTTGGGGTAGATGTACTATCCCTCCTGAAACACCTCCTGTGAGGAGGAGGAAGGAGCATAGAGGAAGAACAGGAAAGCATCAAGCTGGGACTCCTGCAACCCCCAATACCTGCCTTTTCAAGGCCTGGAATGCCCCCAGGACAAGTTAAGGGCTGATACCTACAGATACTATATGAGTTTTTTTAAAACTTCCTCTTTACCAGGTTTCTCGTGCTGTTATCGATGTACCTCATGGTGGCAAACCGGGCCAGGCCCTCCTTGTAGAGAAAGATCTTCAGTGGGTCACAGGATGTGACCAGCACGTAGATGCGCATGTCAAACTTGAAGCCATCGATGAGGAAGGGCTGAGAGGAAAGAGGCAGGAGCAGGGGTGAGCTGAGGAACTGCTCCCCTGCCTGTGCTGCTCAGCAGGGGGACAAGCTTTGTCTGTGTCCCCGATGTGCCACAGCCACACCAACACCTCCAGCAGAGCTGAGGAGACCCGGGGAGCATGGGGGATGCTGGAATCCTACCCCGGTGTTCCGGGACCGTCCCAGTACCTCAGAGATGTACTGCTGACAGATCATGCGCTCCCCGTGCTTGATCTCCTCTGGGTGGTGGGTTATGAAGATCCCTCTTCCCTGGCAGCTGTTGTCGGGCTTGCAGATGAATGTTCTTGCTTTCCTCATGGATCTATAGGCATGGAAATCTCCGTAGCTGTGCAAGGGAGGGGTGACTATCACCAGCTGCAAAAAACACCCCTCTGAACTCTCTCCTAACAGCTGGGTACTGAAACCATGGTGCTGCAGGCCAGCACACACGGAACTTCTGAAGGGGATCAATCAAACTCCCATTCCGAATCTGCAGGAGTCACAGATTGGTCTCTGCGTGACCCGACCCAGCCTCCCCATCCCTCCTTTTCCCTGCACACATCTCCAGCTCTGCTGGGAGGTTTGCTGAAGAGGTCACAGCAGTGTGTGCCAAAGCAATGCAGGTTTGGGCTCTGGTGCCCAGAAAGAGCAGGCCAGCAGCCTCCCTGCCTGTGTCCCCTGTCCCCACGGCGCTGACCCACACCACTCACTCGGCTGGCAGGCACCACGTGCGGGGGAAGATGTTGTACTCCTTGGGGAAGAGCCGGAGCATGCGGTTCAGGTTGCGGGCCAGCAGGTCCTTGCGGCACAGCTCGATCATGCCTGGGAAGTGGTTGATTTTCTGAAAGTGGTGCAGAAAAACCCTGATCAGTGGAGCCCTGCAGGGATGGATTCTCCCAGCCCCGAGGAGAGCCTGTGCATGGAGAACCAGCAGTGAGAGGGAAGCCAGGCCTGTGGCTGCCTTGAACTACTGCTGAGGGGTGAGACTTGCTACAGCTGCTTTATGTGGGCTCCACTACTGATTTATCTGCCTGTTCCATCTTAGCCCTGGAGCAGCATAAGAGCTGTTTATTTCACAGCACATCACAGGGCTGGGACGCTGCTGCTCCCACCACAGCTGCTGAATGCTGCTGATGACACCAGCCAGGGACATGGCACAAGCAGAGGCATCTGAGCCTGCGCCCTGGAGCCGAGGTACAGATGGCACACGGCACTGCTTCGGGTGCTTCTGTTCCACTCTGCCACGTGCTGTTCCACAGACTGCCCTGTGGCCCGAGCAATGCCTGCTGGGCAGGTGTTCTGTTTACCTGGAAGCGCTTCATTTCCATGAGGCGCTCCAGAGTGACCGTGCTGTCCGTCCAGTACACCGTCCACTCCTCGTGCTCGGCCGCCTCCTTCAGCCCGCAGTGCTGCGCCGCCCGCCGCACTGTGCCAAGGCAAGCAGTGACAGGGCCAGCCAGGGACCACGGGCAGGGGCTGACACACCCCAGAGAACCGGGGAGGGAGTGTGAAACACACCTCTGCCCGAGGGGCTGACACACAGGGGCTGACACACCCGCAGGGGATGGAGCATGCAGCTCTCCGGGCTGCTGTTCCCCTCTCAGAGGTACAGGGTATTGGCATGATCCCTTGGAAGGTGTCAGGAACACCAGTTTTATCTGGCCAACGCCCCAAGCCTCTGGCTGCAAGTGTTCTGGGAACTCTTAACCCTCTAATCCCACCTGTCCTGAGGTGCCAGGGCCCCTCCACAGCAGGGCTGAACTTCCCATGGGTTTTACACCTCACAGGCAGATTACAAGTGTTGTGAAGGTGTGAATTTAATCTCCCAAATCAAAGGTCTTTCAGCAGCAGAACACAGCTCTGCAGGAAAAGGTCTATGTTGGTGCTAGTGCCAAGTATGAATTTGGCAGGGCTGATGGGGATCCACGCACACCAAGATCCCTTAGCAAAGTAGATTAATATCAGCCCTCAAGGGCCAGGAGTGTGTTCTTTCAAGATCCAGCTTGTAGAAGGAGAGTGGGAGGGGAGAGTGGACCAGCTCCCTGGGGTCCCCAGGGATGAACAGCACAGGGAGAGGCTCCAGGTACAGATCCTGCCTGCTCACCACCAGATTCACCCTAAACAGCTGACGACCCTCGGGTCCTGTCTCCAAGCCCAGGCACTCCCTTGCACTGTACCTGACGGAACCCTTCTTGCCCATTTTAGCAGGCAGCTGGCAAACACAAGTGTGGGGGATGTTGAGGGCTCCTGCTGCTGTTGCACATTTTAAATCGGGAGAAATCTCAGTCCAAAGTGTGACAAACTCCCCACTGACACGAACAGGGCCCTGTGCCAGTCGCTGGCAGCAGTGAATAAACCAGCGGGAACTGGGTGCCAGGAGCGCTGCTGGCTGGGCACACCTGGGGAGCCTGCGGGTCCCTGCCCCTCTAACTTACCGCTGTCGTACTTGCAGCCGCTCAGGTTGATGGAGGGGACACTGGAATAGAGACGAGATGACAGTAGCTCAGCGAGGCACCGGGCAGGGCACACAGTGGGGACAGCCCCGATGCCCCCCACACACAGAGCACACCGGGCAGCCCGACCGAGCCAGCCCCGTTCGCTACAGCCCTAAGGAGGCGGGCAGGCTGCTCCTGGGCACGGAGCCGTGCCCAACTGTGTCACACAGGGGATCCTTGGGGCACTTCCAGGGAACACTATTTATTTTGGGTCAGCGGGACCCCGCACCGGCCCCCGGGGGCTGGGGAGCGCCGGGCACCGCCTGGGCACTGTGCCACGGCTGGGCTGGGGCCGGGACCGAGCGCGAGTGAGGCAGCGGGAGGCGCCGCTGGGAGCGGCCGGACGGGCTCCAGCCGGACCCTGCCGGGGGCTGCGGTCCCGCACTCGCCTGCGCTTCCTCCGCGGCTCGGGTCCGGCGGGAGCAGCGGGACGGTACCGGGGGGCTGCGGCGATGGGCGCCTCCTCACTCGGAGGGGTTTCCGGGGACGGGCCCGGGCCCACGCTGCCCCGCCCGCCGCCGCCCGCCGCCGCCATCACACCGCTCCCGGCTCCGCCGCGTTCCCATGGCGACCGCACCATAGAGCCGAGCATGCGGCCAGAGCGGCCTCGCGCGGCCACGTGACAGCCACTTCCGTGTCCTCCACCCGCAGCGCCCCCTGCCGGTCCAGGTGCGCTCAGCTCTGCAGCGGCCCAGCCGCTGTCCGTTCCCCCAGTTCAGCGCTCCGGCCGCGGTCCGTGCCCCCGGTTCAGCGCCCCGGCCACCGCCCGTGCCTCCGGTTCAGCGCTTCAGCCGCTGCTCGTGCCTCCGGTTCAGCGCTCCGGCTGCTGTCCGTGCCACCGGCTCAGCGCTCCGGCCGCTGTCCGTGCCATCACCGCTCCAGCAGCCTCGCCAGCTCCCCGCCCAGATGCAGCAGTTCGGGCTCGGGAAGCAGGTGCTGGCGGATGGCGCTCAGGGCCTGCTCCTCGGTGATGTCCCGGTAGAGCGGCTCGGCGGGCAGCGGCAGCAGCCCCGCCAGCTCGCACAACGCCACGGCGAAGGGCTCGCCCGCCTTGGGGCCGAAGAGCGGCCGGCGCGCCCACAGCAGCACCCGCAGCCCGCGGCCGCCCCCGGGCCCCGCCGGCGGGTCGCCCCGCGTGGCCAGCACGTTGCAGGCCAGCCCGGCAGCGCCCAGGTGCTCGGCCGCCCGGCACACGGCCCGCGACACCGGCTCTAGCGCCGCGGGGCCGGGGGCGAAGAAGAGGAAGGCGGGGGCCGGTCCGGCGCGGAGCAGCGCCAGGCGCGGCCCCAGCGGCTCGGCCGGCGCCTCCTCCAGCGGCAGCGGGCGGTCCAGGTAGAGGCCGTGCAGGTGCAGGTGGTTCACCGAGGCGCCGCCGCCCAGCCCGTTGAAGCCCACGCGGAAGCCGGGGTGGGCGCTGAGCAGCGCCGCCTCCAGCGCCCCGCGCAGCGCCGGGGCCGTCAGCGCCTGCGGCAGCCGCCGCGCCGGCTCCGGCAGCAGCAGCACATGTCCCCGCTCCAGCGGGCTGGCGTTGATCGCCACCAGCAGCGGCTCCGGGCCGCCGGCGCGGCGCAGGCGGAACAGCAGCTCGGCGGGGCGCAGCCGGGTGAAGTTGAAGGCGGCGGGGTCGAAGGGGTCGCAGAGGCTGCGGACGGGCTGCGGCGGGCGGCGCTCCGCGCTGCGCTGCTCGTTCAGCTGCGCCACGAGGCGCACGGCGCCGGGCAGGACGCGGGTGGGCAGCGCTCCCAGCCGGTACCGGAACAGTCCCCGCTCCATACGGTCGCTCCAGCCCGCCAGCAGCACCCGGTCGAACCGGGAGGGCGCGGAGCCCGGGTCGCCCCAGCCGGCTGCCTGCAGCACGAAGTCCTCCTCGCTGTACACGAACTCCTCGGGGCTCGGTTCGCCCGGCTCCCCTCCCGCCGTGGCCGCCATCTCCGCGGTGGCGGGGCCGGCAGCTCGCCTTGTGCCGGGCGGGCGGGGCCGGCGGTACGTGCGCGTTTGCCCCGCCCGGGGCGGGCAGCGGCGGCGGGCGGGGAAGGCGCAGAGAAGCGGCGCCATGGGCGGCTCGGCCAGTCTGATCCCGCGGGACTTGTTGAGCGAGTACCAGGTACCGGCACCGGGGCACAGGGCCGGCTGCAGGGCCCCGCTGGGGTGCCCTGCCTCGGGCCCCGGTGCCGGTGCTGAGCCGTGCTGTCCCCGCAGGAGCTGACGTTCCTGAGCAAGCAGGAGATCTTGCTGTAAGTACCGCCGTGAGTGCCCCCCCGCCTGCCAGCCCGGTCCCGGTCCCGGTCCCGGTCCCGCAGGGCTTCAGCCTCTGCCGCGGGGCACGGAGAGCTCCCGTTCCGCCCCGCTGAGCCGGGCGGTGCCGGTGGCACTCCCTACGAGCCGGTTGTGACGGGGCCAAGGTCTGCGGGTGCTGCCGGTGACGCCCTGACCCGGGGCTGGGGCTGGGGCCGTCCCGGTGACCCTCCGGCAGCCCCGGAGCCGGGTGGGCAGCAGCCGGACCGGCCCCTCTGCCTGCCCCGGGAGCAGGGTGAGAGCCCGGCCCGGCAGAGCCGGCAGGAGCGGTGGGAACGGGCCAGCCCGCCCCGGGGAGCGCGGCCGGTGCCGGACGGGCACCATGGTGCTGCCACCTGCTCGGACCACAGAGCCGCTCTCTTTCTTGCCTCTTAAAGTGCCTACAAGAGGTTCAGTGAACTGCTGCCAAAGGAGGAGAGGGAGAACGCCTGCTCTTTGCGGGTCCCCAAGAGCCAGATCCTGACGCTGCCTGAGCTGCGGGTATGGTGCCTGGCACACACGGGACACTGCTGCTCCGGGTTAGGGCCCGTGCACCCAGCACGGCCTCGCTGTGCCAATAAAGAGCTTCCCTGTCCTCACCGAGCAACTGGCAATCCCAGGGATCCCTGCTGTGCCATGGAGGATCCCAAGGGTCCCTGCTGTGTAGGATCCTGGGGGTTCCTGCTGTGCCACAGGGGACCCTGCTTATCCCTGCTGCACGGGGCTGCACCCCGGGGGGCGCACAGGACAGACATCACCATGCTGTGGGTGATGGAGCGGTGGCAGAGCGGGGCACCTGCTTACCTGGTGTTCCTGATGGGGTGTTCCTGATGGGGCCAGCAGGGCCCAGCCCTGCCTGAGCCATTCCCGTGTCCACAGGCAAACCCCTTCCAGCAGCGCATCTGCCACGTGTTCTCAACCTCAGAGACCGAGGACGGCAGCATGTCCTTTGAAGACTTCCTTGATATGCTGAGTGTCTTCAGCGATTCTGCCACCTCTGACATCAAATCCTACTATGCCTTCCGCATCTTTGGTAAGGCTGGGGACAGGTGCTGTGTTCTGGGACTGCTGCACCTTGAGGAAGCGGGAGCAGGGTGATGAATTGATGTTCAGGAGGGCTGGAAGTGCCCTTGGAGCACTCATGGGGATGGTGGCTTTAGGAACTCCCTGTGAGAACAGCTGGTTTGGCTGTTCTGTTTGGTGAGGTGCACGGAGGGGCGCAGTGCTGGTGTCTGTGACCCCCTGGGGTCACTGTGGGCCTCCCAAAACCTACCTTGTGTGTCCCCACAGACTTTGATAATGATGGGATTCTGGACAGGAAGGACCTGGAGCAACTGGTGAACTGCCTCACAGGGCAAGGCGAGGGGTCCCGGCTGAGCAGCACAGAGATGGACCAGCTCATCCAAAATGTGAGGGCTCCCAGCCAGGGCACGGGCACTGCAGAGCCCCGGGCACAGAGCTCACTGCTCCCCTTCCCCACAGATCCTGGAGGAGTCCGACATCGACAAGGACGGCACCATCAACCTTGCCGAGTTCCAGCACGTTGTCTCCCGCTCCCCCGACTTCGCCAGGTGGGGGTCCCCAGAGCCTGGCTGGGGTTCATCATTGCTCAGCTTGCACTGGGGCAGAGCTGTGGTGCAGGAGGGCAGGGCTGCCCTGTGCCAAGTGTGCCGTAGTGGCAGAGAGCTCTGCATCCCCTGCTGGCTCTGCAGAGCCTCTCCCACACAGGGATTCGGGTGCTTGTAAAGCCTTTGTGTCACCTAGCAAGCAGGTGCAGATCCTGTCATATCTCTTGCAGCTCCTTCAAGATTGTCCTGTGAGCCCCTGGCTGTCCAGCAGCACTCCTCCAGCTCCTCCAGCACTGCTCCAGTTCCTGCAGCTCTCTGTGGGCTCAGCCATTTCCTCTTTCAGGGAGCACAGATCTGGCCCCTCAGTGGCCCGGCTGTGCTGCAATGCCTTGGGCAGGAACCCTCCTGCTCCCCTCTCAGGTGCCTGCTTGGCAGCAGGGAGTCCCAGGAATCTGCCTCTCCTGCGGCCCTTCTGCTGTCTTAGCATTAGAATTTGAATCCCTATGCATTCCAAGGGCAGCTCTGCTCCTGCCTGGGGCCACTCTGCACCAGCACAGCCCCTCTCTGCCCTCAGGACCAATTCCTACCTTGTGCCTTCCAGCAGCAGGCGGGGAGCTGCCTCCCCTGCCAGCCTCTTCTGCCTCTGCTGTATTTCTGGGGGCCTGCCTGCTGCCACGTGGATCCATTTCTCTGAGCAGTAACTGAGCGTGGGTCCTCTGAGCAATAACCAAAAAGTGGATCATTTTCCACAAGCAATAGCCTAACTGGGGGTGCTTTCTCTGAGCAGTCACCCAGGAGTCACTGTGCAGGTGCCTCCCCAGAGCAGAGCTGTCCCCCCACGGCTGTGCTCAGAGCCTGCACTCCTCCTCCTCCTCCTCCCATTCTGTCTTTGCCCTCTTCTGGCTCCAGCACAGCAGCTGCTCTGCCGCCCTGGCCTCTTCCTCCCCCAGTCCCTGTGAGGACACAATTAAAGGGCTCTGGTTTCACCCTTGCTCTTTGCTGCCTTTGTCTGGCTGCGGGACGGGTGCCACCAGGGTGTTGGGGACATGGGCTCCTGCCAGCCCTCTCTGCCTGCCGCCAGCCGCCACTGCAGGGGACGGCTCCACGTCCTGCTCCACCACAGCCCTTCCAGGGCCACCTCCTTCCCTCCCTCCTCCACACTGGGGTCCTTCTGTGCTCGGTGCTCAGGCTGGGGCACTGAGGGGAGCCCTGGGCCGCGAGTGGCACTGTCACTGCGGGCAGCAGAGCAGCAGGGTCCTTTGTCCTTGCTCAGGATCCTCTCTGCCCTGCCAGGACTGCTGTGGGTCCGGCTGGCCCCGCAGAGCCCCGTACTGGGGCAAAGCAGCTGATGGCTCTCGGGGCTCTGGCGTGGCTGTTTCTCACACGGTGGCTCCTGCTCCTGCCAGCCCTTCCAGCTTTCCAGCTCGCTGCCCCACGGTGCTGACAGTATCTGCCCGTGCCCCTACAGCCCCGGGGCTGTGTCTGTTGGCAGCTCACCAGCCAACGCCTCCAGTGGCTTTTTTGATGTCCCAGAACAGGCTGTGCAGGAAGTTCAGTGCACAGGTCCAGCTGGGAGCAAGGCAGTGCTGGTCCCTCGGGGGAATCCTGCCTGGACACGCCATCTCTGTGGAGCTCACCACTTCCCCCAGCCCTGTGCTGGCACTGCCAGTGCTTCCCAGTTGTGTGAGGGCTCAAAACCAGCACTGGCTGCAATCCCAGGCCTCACCCTCAGCCACCACGGAGTCAGGTCCTGCTGGCAAGGTGTGCAGGGCCAGCCCAGAGCAGGGTGGGGTGGGGACAAGGACCTGATGCTCCCTGCGTGGGCAGTGGGTCCCACATGCAGCACAAGACTCTGGTCCTGGGAAGGGAGCTGTCACAGCCTCTCTCCTGCTGGGGGCTGCCTTCCTCCCAGCCCCAGGCCCCAAATTTTCTTACTCCTGGTCACCTCTGCCCTCTCCTGTTTCTCATGGTGCCAGGATGGCATCACCCCATCGCTCTGCACCCAGGGCCTCCCTGCCCCACACTGCCATGGCACGGGCCTCAGGCACAGCCCCAGGACAGCGCAGGGCTGCCAGCAGGTCACAGGGACACCGCCACTGTCCCTGCAGGGCCCCGCGTGCCCTGCCCAGTGCTCAGCCAAGCACACGAGGAGGGGACTCCACAGAGCTGATGGCCAGCACAGCCCTCTGCCCCCTCTGGAGGCGTGGGCAGATCTGCTCTGACTGCAGTGAGAGCCAGACGTGGCTGCTCTCCACGGGGCCAGCTGGGATGGTTCTGGCCTAGGAAGGCACTGAGCCCTGCCGCACACACGTGTCTGAAGGACTTTATATAAAAACAAGAGACATTTCCACACACGCACGTGGGGCCGTGGGGGGTGTTCCTGCCCACCCAGCGCAGGGAAAGCTGTTCCCAGCTCCCCTTCCCCCGACACAATTCACATTTTCCACATATTAAAAACGAACCAAGCACAGACACACAGCACGTGCCGCGGGGCTGGCGCTGCCCAGCCGCACGCGTGGCCCTGGGTCCCCAGCGGGACGTCACAGTGAGTTGGGGCACGAGGGGTCTGCGGCCGCCCCCTCCTGCCCTCTGCATAGAGGGAGTCAGGGCCTGGCACCAGCAGCCTGAGCCAGGAGCCGTGTCCATCTCCGCAGCAGGGACACCGGGCTGGAGCCGTCCTGCAGGGCCCTGGAGGGCAGGAGGCACCCCTCACATCCACAAGTACCGAGGTGATGCCAGGGAGCCCACCAGGCTCTAGGCCCCACTGGCTGGTGGGCGCTGCCGCAGAGAGTGAGTGCCAGGCTCTGGGCATGCACACACAGACAACACGGACCCTGGCAGTGGTGCATGGTCCAGCGAGGCTCAGCAGAGCAGAGGCAGTGGTGAGTGAGGGCTCGGCTCTCGTCCCCGTCACACCACCGAGTCCTGGATCTCGGAGCCCAGGCGCACCCGGGGTCTTTGGCAGGCAGGAGACACCTCCACAAAGCTGTCACGGACGTGGAGAGGCCTCTTCTCTGACTCAGAGAAGGTGCGTGGGGGTCCTGGGGGCTCATGCACGGGGGTACTGACAATGTAGTTGTCCTGCAGGGCCTGGTAGCCCTTGTGCTCAGGAGCCGTGCTGGGCAGGCTGCTGCCATTCAGGGGCAGGCTCTCCACTGGCTTGCGGGGCGGTTTCTGGTGCCTGCCGGGGTCGCTGGGCTCCAGCAAGGCCTTCATGCCGTCACGGTGCCGGTGCAGCACGAAGAAGGCCAGCACGAGGACGGCGGCGGCAAAGAGCACACACATCACCAGGAACTCGGTCCAGTAGGTCTTGCCGTCCAGCCGTGCTGCAGCGCTGCCCACCGCTGAGGTGCTCCGCGATGTGCTGACCGTCTCCAGGGCGTCACGGCCAGCAGCCACCTTCCTGCCAGGGTCTGCTGGCCCAAGGGCTGGCTCTTGCACGCCCACGCAGTAGCTGGCCATCAGCTTGCGGAAGCCCTCCTCCAGCGACCAGCACTCGTAGGTGCCTGCACGCTCTGGGCTGCCCACCAGAATGAGGGCCCCGTCAGGCAGCACCAGGTAGGAGGCGTTGACAGGAGCCCCGTTGTGCAGCCAGCTCCGCGAGGCCAGGTTGGAGAGCAGCCGGCATGGCAGCGGCCGCACTGCGTTGGGAGGGAGCTGGATCTGCTGGCACGGCGAGCCTGAGGCTGCAGACAGAACCCATGGGAACATCAGCGAGGGGACCCCAGCCGTGGGCAGGGGCTGCTAATGGTGGAGCAGGAGTCTGGGGGATCCCCCAGGACACGCACTCACAGCAGCACCAGCGGGAGCTCACCTGGGGACAGGAGGATGCGGGGACGGGGCTGGGAGGCGTTGGCCAGCTGGCAGAGCCGCTCCGTGTTGGCATCCTCAATGTCCTGTGCCCAGAGCCTGGGAACAGAGGGAGGGCAGGGCAGTGGGGTGCCCTGGGGTGGAGGGGATGGCAGAGGGTGCAGCACTTACTGTGGGTGTGCCAGGGGATGTGGGGTGAGCCTGCGGCAGGCACCCTGGCTCCAGGCGCAGAAGGGGTCCCGTGCCAGCACACATTCCCCACAGCTGCGGTACAGGCTGCAGTTGGCAAAGGGCACCTGGGCCACTGCTGTGTAGGTGGCTGCATACACAAGGCCCTGTGGAGGGGACACACTGGGGTCAGTGGGGTGGGCTCCTGCACGCCCCTGCCTTTCCAGGTCTCTGTCCCCCATCCCACAAACAGGACCTGCCCCAAGCAGGCTGAGCCCCCAGCGCCCCCCTCGCCCCGGCTCCTGCCTGGTGCTGGTCCAGCAGCAGCTGGAGAATGGGCTGCCCGTCAGGGAAGAGGCGGATCTCCTCAATGATGTGCACGCCGTGGTTCACCCGCACGGCCTTGTGCAGCCGCCCGTCGTCTGCAAACAGAGGGGCTGTGTTGAGCAGGGCCGGGGTGCAGGGCACACAGCCTGCCCCGCACAGCCCACCTGCACCCACCCGTGCCCAGGAAGAGGACGTCGTAGGTGCCGTGCAGGCCGGGCGCGCGGTGCACGCCGATCTGCTGGTAGCGCCGCTGGCTCTGCAGCAGCAGCGGCTGGCTGCGCACCGGGCTGTCCATCAGGAAGTGGTCCTTGATAAAGTTCAGCACCCGATCTGGCATCTGCAGCGATGAATTGATCTTCAGGTGCCGCGTGTGGCTGGTGATGCACTGCAGGGAAAGAAGGGGCTCGGAAGGGCTTGGGGAAGTGGCTGGGTACCATGCTGTGGCAGCCATTGGGACCAGGAGAGCAACGGGCAGTGCTGCGCTCGGGCAGGTGCCAAGGGGCCACCTACCATGCCTGGCCGGGGCTCTGGCACGGGGCTGGTGTCCGTGTACCACTGCTGCGTCTCGCGGTTCACCTCCTTGTAGAGCCCGCCGAAGGCGCGCTGCACGCTGCGCATGGGGAAGGCGCAGACGGCCGAGCTGCCCAGCCCGCCCTTGTTCCTGGTGAGGACAGGCAGAGCCCACAGCAAGATCAGCGCCTGGCTCTGCCAAACCCCCCGTGCTGCCCTGGGTCCCCACCACTCACCACTGCGAGGTGAAGACACCGTAGAAGAGCGTCTCCCTCCAGCGCAGCTCACCCGGGGTGAGCACAAAGATGTCCTGCAGCACGTTGAAGGGGAACCCATCCTCAGGGTGTGAGCAGAGCAGCTGTGCCTTCAGGAAGGTTGTCCAGCGCCGCTGCAGCACGCGCTCCCCGCCCTGGTCCCCCTGCGTGGCACAGTGGGTCAGGGGGCGATGCTGCGGCCGCGGGGCACCCCACGTGCTGAGAGAATGGGGGGTCCAGGCACCAGGGGGTGGAGATATGCAGGATGGCCCCACATCCCCCCACCCCAGCAGCCCCAGGCACAGCCCCCCCACACGCCCCTGCTGCCTTATGCCCACCTTGCACACACGTGCGATGCGGGAGACGATGGTGTTCTCAAAATAGTCAAACTCTTTCCCGGTCTCGCTGAAGAAGAAGTAGACCTTGTCGTCGTCACCCTCAGGGTTGCCGGCAGGGAGGCTCTCCCGCAGGTAGGCTGAGCCCACAAACGCTGGGTCTGGGGGCACAAGCACCCTCAGCACTCTGGCCCCAGCCCTTGCCTCCCACACTGCAAGGGAGAGGGACCCCGAGCAGCCGTGCCAGCCCCAGCTCTCACCTTGCAGCCAGTTGAGGGAGTTCTCGGTCTTGAGGGCGATGCGGCTCTCCTGGCTGCGGGAGATGGTCGGCTCGTTGCCCTGGAAGTTGCTGACGGTCCCAGCGTAGAGCTCACCGTCTGCCAAAGACAAGTTCCTGCTGGGACCCGCCACGCGCCACCAGCACGGCCCTGCGTCCCGCTAGGGCTGAGATAGCCTGGCCTTGGCACGGCTTGGCCAGGCAGACGCAGGGACAGGAGGCACGGGGAGGAGGGCAAAGGTCCCAGGGCGCTGCAGGGAGGGTGAGGGCTCCAGGGGGGCACAGGGAGGAAGGGCGAGGGTCCC